TGGTCTCTCCACATGGCAGCCCCAGGGTAACCATGGCAGCTGAAGGCAGAGGGAGTGAGAGAGTAGCGGGAGAAAGAGAGAGCCAGAGCGAGTTACAGAGAAGGAGAGGGTGAGGCAGAAGCTCGTAAAGGCCTTATGACCTAGCCTTGGAAGGACGTTATGCTGTGTCATTTCCGCCACATTTTCTGAGAAGCGAAGCATTAGGGCCAGCTCATGGTCATGGGGAGAAAAATTAGACTCCACTTCTTGATTGAATTTTTGGCCATTTTTTTTTAACTACCACATTTTCCTCCTCTAAAATGCTTGCCTAAATTAACGCAGACATGAAGCTTGGAGTGTAAGGAACACATCCAAGGTCGTTCAGCCCTTAAATGGTTCCACCAATATTAGATCCAATTTTGTGACACCCACCTTCATGCACTTCCCAGGGTCCCAGAAAATGTCATGTGATTAGCACGAGGAACATGGTAGGCAAGACACGCTAGCCCCCAAACAGAGCCAATCCTCATTGCCTTGGAAAACACACTTACATTTATTTTGCAGGAAAAATATTAGCTGGAAAGCAGTCGTCCATGAGCACTTTCCAAATTTCTCCCAAACATCTGTTTTTAAATTTCCCCCCCCAACAGATGTATTCATTTACATTTCCCCCAGATGAGTCACCTTTTCTTTTGTTGTTATTTTTTGACTGTATTTCTCACCTCTCAAGATCCTTTGGTATTAATTCTCAAACCCACCACTTAGGTTGGTAGTATCTCCTAATTTGGAACCTTCCCTTACTTCTATCATCATGAACATTTGCCCTTCCTTTGGGCCACTAAATGAAATGTTCTTTAAGCAGATGGTCTGAGGGGCACTTGGGTGGCTCAGTTGGTCAAGCATCCCACTCTTGGTTTTGGCTCAGGTCATAATTTCCGGGTGGTGAGATTGAGCCACACCTTGGGCTCCTGCTCAGCAATGAGTCTGCTGGAGATTTTCAATCCCTCCCCTTCCCCCTCTGCCCCTCCCCTGCTCTGTGTGTGTGTGCCCTCTCTCTCTCTCTATGTCTAAAATAAATAAAATCTTAAAAAAAAAAAGAGGACAGTCTGATATAAAGTCTGAGGGGCATTCTTTTTTTTTTTGGCAGTAGGCCAAAATTTCTACAGTTGAAACTTCTGTTGACCCAAAATGAGTTTAAACCTCATTTTAGAAAATCTGGGTTATTTGAATAGTGATATAACTCTGAAATCTCAGAGGGCTCACATAGTGCCTACAATTCTAAGCAGTAAGGCAGATTTCCCTGTAGGAACTTTTCTGTTTGGGGATCCCCAGGAGTCCCTATGGGAAACCATCCTTTCTGTTTCACAGACCCAAAGCATTGGTGGGAGCGCGGGGTAAGAAGAAGAGAAAGTGTATAAAGAGTCTCCAGGAGGTATGGGGTCTCTGTGTAGACCAGCACACTCTTCAGAGACATAATGCAAGCCCCAAAGGTATTGTTATATTTTCTAGTAGCTGCATTTTAACAAGTAAAAGGTGAAATTAATTTTAGTAATAGATTTTATTTAACTCAGTATATCCAAAATGCTATCATCTGAACATGTAGTTATTACAAAAATATTCACGAGATACTTTTCATTCTTATTTCTAAGAATTTTTTTTTAAAGATTTTATTTATTTATTTGACAGAGAGAGACACAGCGAGA